TAGGTCAAAAATCAGAAATTTCCCTTTCTCAGTCAAAACCCTAATTTTGACTATTTTGCCCTTTTGAAGATCTGGTCAAATTTCTTGAGAAATTATGGTCCAAACTTTATCAAATGACATATATGAGTTCACAATGTTGATATGGATCAAGAACTATGAAGTTTGGCTGTAAATTATCCACAGTTGACTTTCCCCCAATACAACTGATTTTTAGGTCAACTGATCAATTGACTGAGCAAAAATGTGATCCAAGACTTGAAACTTGACATGAGCAATCTTGAGGGTCCATAATTATCCATGAAAGTCATATGAGGCATTAAAAGTTAAATTATCCTTATGCAATCTCAAATTCTAATTTCAGTCATCAATGCTTAAGGAGGTGTCTTGAGCTGATCAACCCTAGTTCAGTCTTGAACCAAAAGAGATTTTGTGAGAAAATACTTGATAAATGAGAGGGAAAATTTTGGGGTACAACATATACCCTATCCCCAAATGATGTAATCGCGTAGTAAATTTAATTTCTGCAATTTATCGCTTTCATATAAATGCTAGTAATTAGGGTTTGTATGGAAAGATAAAAATCAATAAATAGGTAACCCTAATTCAAGATAAACAATGCATGCAAATCAAACACATTATTCACACATGCACCCTTAGGGTAATTCCACTTATTGCCTTATAAAAATGGTCATGTTATGCCTGTGGGATTTCTTAGCAAAAACAATCAAAAAATACAAGATCATAGTCCCTCAGTGACACTACAAATGTTGCCTTTCAAATGATCTTAGTCCCTCAAAGAGAAATTCTAAGATATCTTACAACATTGCTATCATGACTATACGATGACCCGCGCCCGTCTCTTTACATCCAAAGATAATGCTTCTTACCAATCAATGGTGAGATAGAAATATCAAAGGAAGGAAGAAATGAACAAAGACTTTTGAGTAGGTAGATTGCTCTTAGTTGCTTGCTTGCTCACCATGCCTTTTCAAAAACACTTTCAAGACAAACACACACCAAACACTTTCAAAACATGAAATATTTTCAAAATGTCCAACACTTTGTATATGTTCTTACAAAATTAGAACCATTACAAAGTTTGCCTAAACGAAGGTGCCTTTTCAAAATACTTTCAAAAACCACCACAAAGAACATTTTCAAACAAAGCACATTTTCAAACAAAGCACATTTTCAAACAAAGCAAGTGATCTAGCTAGCAACTAAGAGCCCATAGATAACTATGGATGAAAAGGGTGCTAACACCTTCCCTTTTAATAATTTAACCCCCGAACTCAAGAAAATATCTCAAAGGTCTTTCCTGTTATTTTCACCATTTCCTTTTTAAATAAAAGAAAAGTCGGTGGCGACTCGTGCTAACTGCAACAATTGCGATCAAACGCAAAACATACCAAGTCAGTTCTCCCACCGTATTACATACGACAACAAAGATAACAATATCCAATATTGGATTTGAACGGAAATGAAATATCAAGACATCCAATATTAGCTTTGGATAGCAAAAAAGATCACGACATTCAATATTGACTTTGGACAGCAAAAAAGATCACGACATCCAATATTGGCTTTGGATGGAAACAAAAGATCATGACATCCAATATTGGCTTTGGATGGAAACAAAAGGTAACAACATCCAATATTGGCTTTGGATGGAAACAAAAGAGACAACATATCAAATATTAGCATTGGACGAAAGAGAGAAACAGCTCATCCAAGATTAGCATTGGACGAAAGAGAAAAACAGCTCATCCAAGATTATCATTGGATGAAAGAGAGTCAGATGAACTGACATCTGCTTTGGTAGGTGCCGAGTAAGTTGGACTTTGATCTCAAGGTGACATGCCAACAACAACAAGACCTCGGGAAATGAAAATGAGGATGCAACACTCTTGTTATGCATCATGTATGAATTTTGTTATGCATGATATGTGAATGATCTATGCAGTTAATACCTGTTGCACCCCAAAATTTTCCCTCCTAATTTCTTTTATTCTGGCTTAGATTTTTCATTTATTCATCTACATATATTCCATTAGGTCACTAACAGAGTATACATATATGTTCAATAAGGCATTTGAGGTTTAAGGTTCAGTAATCATACAAGCAGGGTTCACATGGTTTTAGGTGCTTACTTCATACAAGTTTGGTTCTATCGAAGACTTCTTGGTCTCGAATTGGGATTTGATCATATGGTGACTATGAACTTCTTATTCAACTTCATGCAAGGGTTATCTTCACCAAGGCCTACTTGGTCATGGAGTAGGGTTTATTTCCCTATGCTTGGGTTTATCAGATGAATTTGGCAAGGCTAATAGTCAAAGGTTCTTCATCATTGACTATCTAGGGTTTTCTTTCGACCTTTCTTTGTAAATCGAAAGGGGGAACTTATTACTTAAGTCACAAGCTATATGATTGGAAACTTCATGCAGAAGACAAATGTGGATATACTGGTGCCCACTTTACCATTTGAGCTTTGTTTATCACTGATTCAAATAAATTCTTCCAATTAACTGTGATGCTTGAGGATCAAGATGTTACATTGCTTAGGCCATACAAGTTATCTCTTTGGTTTTCGCACAAGGCTTTGAGGTGAACGTGGTGTATTGGGTCATAGTTGTATCCAAGGTTTTGACAATATCTTACTTGAGTTCCTTTGATTGACTAAGAGTATCTTATCTCATGATGTGTTATATTAAAGGATGAAATTTGAAGCAAAATTTGAAATGTTAAAAGAAGCTTTTGGAGGGAAAGAAATATTCAAGTCCTATTTCATCTCCAAGATACCAAGCATCACAAAACTCACTCGAGAAATATTGATGAATCCAAATGAAATACAATGTTATGAAATCAAGGTTCAAGATTGCAAATTGGAGAAAATATTAGGTGCTTGAAGATTCATTCAAATTGAAGCATAGTGGAGGGAAATTCAAACTTTATCATTTTTTAAAATAAGTCATATTCCCCTATATAAATCAAAGTTATACTTCAAATCCAATTTCAATTGTCATTACAATACTGGAAAAAATAGAAAGAGATTACACTTTTGACCAATTCTACAAATTTCACATTAAGCCTACCATCTAATCTTCATCCTTCAATTTCTTTACCAAGTCTCCTTTAACTCCATCTTGCACGTCCTTTCTTCAAGCCTTATCCTCCATGGTCCCGCCCTTAAGTCATTCGGCAACCTACACAAAAATATGAGAGAATTAACTACAAGGATGTTAATTAGAAGACAACCCATTTCTTTAGAATATATGATGGTCACGGTGCTCTCAAGAGATAAATTGTTGTTGTGATTGTATGAATTTGGCTTTAGCTGAGGAAGTAGAATTGTTCAATGAAGGTCTAATAATAGGAAGTACAGAGGATATATTTCAATATTTATGAAAAGGTTTTCACTAATTGTATTTTTGGAAGGATGATAATGAAATTTGGGAGAAAGTTAACGGTGAACCTGTTGCACCAAGAACTATTGGTTCCACTGACGTTGTAGCTACTGTTTGTTCATCCCATATTATAGTTTCAAACTGTGGTAATTCCAGAGCAGTTTTTTACTGTGGTAAGGAACTAACCTGCTGCATTCTTCAAATAATTGTCGGCATATTATCCAAAAAAATAAGAGCTCATCAGAAATCCAGAGTAAACACTACACTGTAAATTGCTCTGCATTATTTTTCAGTGGACGGCCTGCTTATAGTCTTGAGACAATGTGGGGTTTGATCAAAACAGAGATTAGAAGATGGGTGCAATGGGAGTACGAGTTTTCTCAAAAGAAACAAACTGCTAACTGAAATCAAAACTCAGACTCATAACAAAATGTTTACCCTAGCTGCTTATGCTAACAGAAGAAAATCAGGATAAATAAATAGCTCAACTTCACATAAATATTAGATTAATTCACAATATCCAAGCTAAGTTTTCAAAACTAACCTGCCAGCTCATTTCCTAAACAAAACTCCTAAGATTTCTACAACTAACCCCAACCGCCTAACCAAATTAGTTACTTGCCAACTAATTCAAACAGAATTCCTAAACTAATTGTTAACAGAATTTACCCAACCTTCCAAAACAACCAACTAACTACCTATAACCAATTTCCCAAACTAATCTCCTAACTACCAACCGGCTCTAACCTCTAACAGAACCAACAAACTTTCATTACCAACTAACTATAACTACCCTGCTAACAGCCAACTATCCTAACAGAAAAAATCTAACTAACAATTAACTCCTCTAACCAACCCTCTCACAAACTTCTCAATGATTTTCAAGAAAAGGAAAGGAAAACAATAGTTAGTTACAAAAAAACATATTGATAACAGAATGTAACAGAATAAAGAGAGGAGAGAGTTGAGAGTCAGATAACAGAAAAGAGAACTTCAAAAACTCACCATAAAAAAGCAATCATCTTCATTTTCTCCTCCTCATCTTCACGCACTCAACATTCACTAAGCCACATTCTTGACTTCATCAGTAGAATCATAAAAAGACCTTCATTCATTCTTCAATTCTTCTCTGAAGAATCACCAACGATACCTCTCTTTTGATCTCATCTTCATCTTCACCAAGCTGCAAAAGTTTTTTTCAATATTCACCTGGTTCTTCTCCATTTTATCATCACCTCAGCATCATCTTCTCAATCTACTTCAATCATCATCATCATCATCTTCATTTGCGAATATGTATCCTCTTCTCCTTAAGCATCAAGATGTGAAGCATAATGATTATACAATCAAATACGAGCCACAACATCATTTATAAAAAACCTTCAATATCTCGCACAGAACAACAACACCAACATCAATAGGCGTCGTGCGTCACAGAAATTCAAAAGGAGAAAGGAGGAGAAACCACGAGCGAATGCATACCTGTTTTATTTCAGAATTTCCGATTCTTTATCACGACCAGAACGCTATTGAAGTGTCTCTGATAGTTAGATTATGTACGCTAGTATGGTTTAAGGTAGCGTCTTCTTGCGTTTATCTTTTGGTTTCATCAAGCGGTGAGAGTAATGGTTCGCAAAAGATGAGGCTGGTCAGAGAGTGAGATGGTGGTGTTAATCGATACAGACGAATCATTGAGACAGAAGTTGAATGATGACGACCAGAGGTTGATTTTGAACCACGACAATAGTGCGGATTCAACGGTGAGATGAAGAAGGTACGAGTTGGAACCACGATGGCGAAGCGGATCGTCATTGAGAAGAAGAATGTCACCGCCGATTGCAAACCGAATTTAAGATTATCGCCTTCGTGAAGAAGAGGATGAGTTGAATTTCCATACAATTTCTCAACCCTATCCAAGCTCTCCAACACACAGGAGTTTCAAACTCCTCTTCTTAATTTCCTTTTTTTAATTAATTATTTTTTTGTGTTAATTAAAAAAAAAGGTGAAGGATAAGTATGTTAATTAATAATGTGATGAGGAATTGGGCTGGGTGATTATCTAGACCGAATCCTTCCCTTTGAGGTCCATTACATTTTTTTGGAAGCTAATTGTTGAAGCACAACAAAAAAACTCTCCTGGGCTCAATCTGAATGGGCCTAACGCCTTTGTTGCTGGTTTCACACTAATATCCAGTTATACACCCCCTCTATAGTAGTTTATATTAATTGTTTTGAGTCACTTTTTTTTCTTTCTTTCCAATAATTTCAGTATATTTTGTTGATAAAAATGTATGAATAAAAAATAGTAGAGTATTGTAGAATTTTTCTAGAATTTCTTTTAGAATTTTTTTTAGAATTTTCTATTATCGATTATGTTTAGTAATCATTTTGCTCGATCTCGGGATTCACCTTTGCTTGTTGAGATTCACGTCTTATGCAGGTTTATTGTGTGATATACAGATATGCTTGAGTTTTCGATTGTGATTTATTTTCACATTGACGACATTAAGACGCTTATTTCGGGAATTTGATCTGACTAATTTCTTTGCTTGTGGAAGCTTACTCGAAGTTTTCTGGGTTTGTTTTGATACACTTTACTACGGATTTATATCCGTTTGATATTTTCTCTTATTTATCTCATTTCTCACTTTACTGCTTTCTAGATATCATGAGAAGTAGGAAATAAAGAGCGTGCGCTCGAAGTCGTTGTTTAAAGGCTTGTAGCAGGCATTCCGCGGTTCATTTTCTATATGTGTTGTGCTTGTGTTTGTTTCCTTGGTTGTTGATCGATGAGTCACTCAATTTAGAAATTGAGATCATGACTTCGCTCTCATTGCATGTTCCCCATAAGATAGTTTTTGTTAGACTTTCTTTGGTATGCTAGCCTAGATAAGATCTCTCTCTAGTTGTGCTCTCTTGAGCTTATTGGCTTGCTTGCTTGTTTTCGTCTTTGTGTGTATATTTTGAGATGATATACCCTCGACATGTTCCCTTAGGAGCTCTCGATTCAACTATAGATGATGATTCAAGATAGACATAGTTTTAGGTGATAGACTCTTGCTATGCTCCTTTCAGACTTCTTTATTCATCTATAGATGATGATTTGAGATAGACATTAGGATTGTTATCCAAGCATGTCAACATAGGGTAGAGATTTCCCTTCAAAGCTCAACTTTAGGATTAATTATTGTATGATAACATTAGGGATAAATTTAGGTTAGTCCCCCTTAGATGTTTTTCTTTTCTTTTGCTTCTTTGCATTTAAAACAAAAACTCTTTTCTTAGCAAATGCATAAAACATCTAACAATTTTCAAATCCTTCTTTAAGGTAAAAAATATCAACCAATGCAAACTCTTTTGCAACTTCGGGCTTTGCTTTCAAACTCTTTTCTGAAAGAACATGTTAATTCACTTCTGTGCCGACGCGTGAGTCTCCAAAGATTGAGTTGCGGTAGAAGACAAAATTAATATTGTTCATTAAAAAATACAAACCAACAAAATCATTTGAAGCCAAACTACGGCTGCTCTGATTCCTTAAAAGGGATACGTAGGCATTGGGGTAGGGCCCGAACGAGCACAAATTTTATTTTCGCTACATTCCTTTCTCCTTTCTTTTGCATGCATTCCCTGTACAACATAGATATAGATTTAAAACACACCCTTTATTTAGAACAACAGGAGTGGATACTGTGATACGATGGCCAGAACCGAGACGTGTTTCCCTTTTTTAAGGAATTGCTGGTTTGCGTTTTGCGTTTATGTTTGCAAAATGTCGCGGTAAGCAAGAGTCGCCACCGTCTTTTATTTTATCCAACAAGGAAAGGAAAAAAGCACAGAAAAATTCCTTTTTCGAGATATTTCTGAGTACGGGGGGTCGATTATAGAAAGGGAAGGTATTAACACCCTTTCTATCCGTAGTTATCTACGGGCTCTTAGGTACTTGCTCATCATTTTCAAAATTGTATCTTTGTGTGCTTGTGTGTTTTGAAAAGTTTTTGTTTTGACTTCGATTTAACTCTTGCTTCTGTCTTCAAGAGTGTAATGAAGTGTTTTTGAAAGATTTGTTTGTAAAGGAGTGTAAGTGTGAAAAAGTTTGTTTGGATTGAGCAAGTACTTAAGAACTAATCTACCTACTCAAAAAAAGAATCGTTTTGTATTCATTTCCTTTAGACAGTGCTATCCCACTATTAGTGAGTAGGTAGCACCGTCGTTGGAGTTTTGAGGGTCAATTCGAAAGGGACGTTTGGTCACTAAAGCAATGTTAGGACGTCTTAGTAGTAACCCTAATGTGTTAGATCAATTATCCGAGACAACAATATCCGAGGCAACCTTTCCGAGGCAACTTTGATCTTTGGACAAAAGGACGACCACTAAAGCATCCTATACTCAATGACCGTTTACCGAAGGCAACCAAGTGGGAGTGTACCCTAGGAGTGCGCATGTGCGAGTGATTCAATTTCAAATTATTTATCTTTGCACATGTTAGGGTTATCCAACTGTTTTAAAGTTTTTCACATACATTCTTGTCATGCATCCTAATATCATACATCTAACAATTAAATATTTGTGGAATTTAAAATGCGGAAATTAAACTATGCTATTACAAGGCTTCGGGTATTTACATAGCCAAAAACAAACCCTTGAAAAGTAAAGCGGTAAATGAAAATAAAGTCCTAATTTAAACTATACAACCTTGTGAGCAGTTACAATAATAGGGTAAAAATAATAAAATAAAGCGCGCGATGAAAATTAGAACGAATGTGAACTAGGGTTTTGACCCTTCTATTCTAATTAAAAGAGAAATTTTTTTTGTAGTTTTTAATATTTTTTAAGAAAAAAAGATTAGGTTTTAAAATTAAATACAAAAAAAATTAGTGATTAAATTAATTAATGAAAATAATTACATGGCCTATTTTTTGTGTTTTGGTTATTTTTAGGAAAGAGAAAATATAATTAAATTAGAGATAAAACCTAATTGTTATAATTGATTTTAAATTTATTTAAAAAGAAATTAAAGTTTGCCTAAAATTAAAGTCTAATTAAATTAATTAATTTTTGGTAAAAAAGATAGAATCTAAACCTAATTTGTGAAAAGTATTATTTTTTTATGATTTTTTGATAAAAGAAAATAATTAATTGTTAGTAAAATAAATAAATAAAAATAAATAAAACAAATAAAAAAAGAATAGAGAAAAAGATTTGGGCCTGAGTTTAGTAGTTTGGGGGGGGGGGGGTGTGAGAAGCAGTTTTGGGCCCAATAATTTGAAGTCTACGTTTGACCTCTATGATTTCCTGCCATGTGTTGGCTGGGCCTCATGGTGCACCTTCAGATGATGGCCATCAGATTTGGCCATATGGAGATCCAAGGGCTAGATCTTGAGAGTCTATGGTGGGTCTTGGACTTGTGTACGCATCTGAACCTGAAGAGAAAAATAATATGCAAATAAAGGGGGGACCTGGGATTCGAACCCAGGTCCTGAAGCAATTACCATGCATTCCACTACCACTGCGCCAACTGTTCTTGTTTGTACATAAAATAAGTAATAATAATAATATACAAAATAAAGGAAATTAGTGGAGAACCAAGAAAACGCATGCCAGATTTCAGATATGTCAATGGAAAGGTGACACCCAGGTCATCCCTGACCTCGTTCCGTTGGTAAAAGTGGTAAAATTTTACCTACGCACATATGTCCGTTGCTATATCCCTGTCATTCCTCAAAATCAAGCATGGGTAAGATAAATCAAAACTAAAGCCATGAATGGCTTCGTCTGGACCTGCTGAGTTCAATGATGGCCCTTTCATGGCCTAATTTTGTCTATATGATGAAATCCCAAATCGAGCTATGAAACCCTAACAATGGCACATTCCAATACAGGCCATGAAAACGCAATCAAATAGTACAGAAAGCATGCAAATGTTCTATGGATCAATAATATATGGTTAATTCATGCTAACAATGCCTAAATCGTGAAAATCGAATTCAAAAATTCATGGATGTTATGGATGACTTACAACGTTTTTTGGTACTAGAAAGGCTTTGTTCTTGATTGCTTATGCTTGCCTACACTCCCAGTAATCGATTGGAATGGGCAAAGAGTCTTGAATTGGCCTGGAACAATGAAATCGTGTTTGCACTTTTTCTTGATTTTTTCAAGTTCTGTTCTTGATGTTGCGCCTCCTTCTCTAGCCTCTTTTGGTCTGCACACACTCCTTATGTATTGAGGAGTGAATTAGGGTTGAAAGAATGCACTCAATCTTCCTCCATCAATGAGTTTGATCTTTATTTGATTCACCTTAAAATCTTTCCAAAAATGGCCTAAATCCAATCTTTTTATGCACACCAAGCCTTTACACGAGTTTGATTTGATGCTAGCTGTAATTTAAAACCTGAAACGAGCACAAAATCTTTTGTGTTCAATATTTTTGATTTTTTATAAATTGTTTTGATTTAAAATGATTTAATTCAAATAAAAATCAAAATAAATAATAAAAATAAGATAATGACAAGTGGCAAAGGATAGGGCTCGTGGACCATGATGCCAACTCAAAACAAGTGAAAAAGTTTGGGCCTATTTGGCAAAAATTGAAGTTTTAGGCATAATTCACTTTTGGCAATTTTACAAAAAAGGTCAACTTCACCAATGCATAACATCCTCAATTTTAACTCTTTGGAGGTGTTCTTGGACTTTTTAGAAATCTTGAGATGTCCTATAAGCAAACCTTTTGGTCTCATATCAATTTGATATACCATTCTCATGTATGAAGCTTTGACAAAAAAGGTGTTTTTGTTGACTTTCCAAAATGACCTATAATGTCCAAATTCATAACTTCTTGTGAGTGCATATTTTGAACTTGGGAGCTGAAGATGGATTGTAGGGAATTGTATCCTCTTCAAAATAAGCTTTGGATGGGTCATTTCTCATAAAGTATGAGAACGTTATGCTTGGTCAAAGTTGAGTTAACTTTTCCTGCAAAACCCTAATTTAGCAACTTTTGAATTATGAGCAATCCTTGATGAATCATGATCGACCCTTGATAAAATGATTAAATATCCTTCAAAATGATAACGTTGACTAAAAATCTTG